TAGTAATAATAATGTTTCAAAAATATTAAATGCGAAAATCCATGGGCTAGGGATGTAGCATGTGTGAGACCCTGGATTCTATCCTCAGCACCACAAAATAGTAATAATAACAGCAACAACAATAATAAAGACTGGCCACAAATCTAAGCGTCCTATGCTAGCACATCCTTCATTCCTAGCAATCCAAGAGTCTGGTGAGAAGTGGGCTGAAGTCTGGGGAACAGGAAGTGCCCTGGGCTTCCTCCCTCCTGCTTGGTCTAGGTAACCCTCTTCGCTTCTCTATGCCTCAGTTTCCCAAGAGCATTTGAACCAGATTGGGTCTGAGAACACTCCCAACCCAAAGCTCCAGAGAATGTTGGAATCTGGGCACAGTCTCTGTCCCCCTGGCAACTCAAGTCCAGCTGTTCACTGCCCAGGGGCCCTGGAGGCCACAGGACCCAGCCAGGATTCCTGCAGTTAGCCTCGCACCTGTCCCCATGAGCTTTCCCTTGCTCGCAGATAATGGACAGGCTGTATCTGCCTCTTCGGAGTCAAGAGCGCAGAAGACCCAGGACCATCTCCGCTTCAGCCAGGGCCTGAGCCTCTGCATTTGTTACTCGGCCAGCATCGGGGGCATCGCCACCCTGACGGGCACCACGCCTAACCTGGTGCTCCAAGGCCAGGTCAACTCGTGAGTGCCTGAACTGGGGGAGGGGCCTGGTGAATGGGGACTTGCACTCTTGCTCAGGGGAAAACGGGACCAGGCAGTTTCAGGGACCATGTCACACAACAGCCCATGTCCTCTTCGCCAGGCTCTTCCCCCAAAATGGCAACGTGGTGAACTTCGCGTCCTGGTTTGGTTTTGCCTTCCCCACCATGATCATCTTGCTGCTGTTGGCTTGGATATGGCTGCAGGTCCTCTTCCTGGGCTTCAAGTAAGTGGTGCCATAGATAAGAGAAGCCCAGTCTCCTGCCTGTACCCCTAGGAGCCTCTGGCTCATCCAGACAAGGTGGGAACCAAGCCATGAGAAGCCTTCTCCCTCTCTAATGTGGCCTCCCGTGCCAGGGAATGGGCAAGCTGAGGAGGAATGGTGAATTCTGGCATTGAAAATCATGTCTCGTGTGTGTGTGTGTGTGTGTGTGTGTGTGTGTGTGTGTGTGTGTGTGTGTTCATTCTTATGTATGGACAGGTGCATGTGCCACATGTTTATATGAGTGTGTAGGATGACTAGAGGTTGACATTAGCTGTCCTCAATCATTTTCTCCCTTATTTTTTGAGACAGGGTCTCTCAATGAACATTAGAACTCATCCAGGTTTCAATGACTAGCCAATGAGCCCCAGGGACCCTTTGGTCTCGGCATCCCTACTGCCATTTTTTATGTATAAGGGCTGGGGCCTGAACTCAGATCTTGACGCTTACATGGCAAGCATCTTACTGACTAAACCGACTTTCCAGCCCTGAAAACCTCATCTCCTGTTCCCCCAACCCCGCCAGTCAGGCACCTTCCCATAATGCTCCATGTCCGGATGGGCACTTGGGGATTCCACACAGTCAGCTAGAGAAGCATTTGAGGTGATCCTTCTGTTTGCCTGTTCATGGACTGGACACTAGGACTCCCACACTTTAGGCAGTCTCTATCCTTGCCCTGATGAGTGGTGATGCAGTGGGAGCCATAAGGAAGGGGAGCACAGGGAGCAGGCATTCCAGAAGTTCCTGGACATGGATCTGAGCTGATTCTTGCAAGACTGATAGAAGCCAGGTATAGAAGTGGGGGAAGGCATCCAGGCAGGAGAGGCGTGAAGCACAGAGGCCAGAAAGACCTGGGTGTGTCTGAAAATGCTGCTTCCCGGGGAGGGGGGGAGGCGGGGGGGGGGGTGAAGTGCAAAGAGAAAAATGAAATGCAAGAGGCTGTCAGGGGACAATCACAGAGGACTTTGTGTGTCACATATAGTTGGGACCTTGTCCTTGAGCCCAAGATAAGGAGGTAAATTTTATTCTACATGCAACCCTGAGTTACTCCTCCTTCCAGTTTGGAGACCTATGTTGAGAAGTATTAGGTAGCTGGTACATACCTGTCACCTCAATACCTGGGGAGCTGAGGCAGAAGATTGTGAGTTCAAGGCCAGCCTGGGTTACATAAAGTCCTGTCTTAAAAACTTAAAATGAGCCGGGAGGCAGTGGATCATGCCTTTAATCCCGGCACTCAGGAGACAGAGCCAGGCAGATCTCCGTGAATTCGAGGCCAGCCTGGTCTACAGAGGGAGATCCAGGACAGGCACCAAAGCTACACAGAGAAACCCTGTCTCCAAAAAAACAAAAGCCAAACAAACAAACAAAAAAACCTGGAGTTGGGGATTTAGCTCAGTGGTAGAGCACTTGTCTAGCAAACACAAGGCCCTGGGTTCAGTTCTCAGCTGGGGGGGAGACACCTAAAATGAAGTAAATAGTCAGAGACTCTGCTAAGGCTCCGCTGACCCCAAGTCTGTACTCACTTAGTGATGTCAGCCGGGCACACAGACGAGAGCGGCCATCTGAGTATTACTGGGGTGTGAGGCACTGTTCACCCATCCTTTCTGGGCAGAGAGGAGCCACAGCGAGCTGTTAAGCTGTACTTTGAACAGATCGCTTGGGCAGGTGCGGGGAGGCTGGATTAAGGTTGGGAACTGGTGTGAAGCAAGGGAGAAGTTGATGAGGTCAGCACAGGGTTGGATTCTGCGAGGAGTCAGGGATGTGCGGAACATGGTCTTTGCCCGGAGAAACTCACAGACCAGCGGGCGATAAGATTTATCCAAGTGGAAAGCTGAATGCCAGCGTGAGCTAAAGCAACAGTACAAGGAGGCGGGCGAAGCCTTCTGAAAGGCTAAGGACTAGGACGGTATTGCTGAGGCTGGCAGGGATACCCAGGGAGGGAAGGGAGCAGTTTCTGGAACATTAATGAGAAGGGAAGCTCAGAATCAGGACCTGAAGGACACTCGAGTCTGGGCCAACATCCTTCTCACTCTGGGCAGAAAGGGCTCAGCACAAGAGACCCTTCAGAGGAAGGGTGATCACAGGGAAGATGAAGAAAATGCAGCTTTCTTGTTGAAGAAAAAAACCACAATCCCAAGTCGGGAATGGTGGCACACACCTATAACCCCAGCGCTCAGGAGGCTGAGACAGGAGGATCAGAAGATGGAGACCAGCTCGGGCTAAAAACTAAACAAAGGGTTAGAAATGTAAGACAGTAGAGAGTTTGCCTAGCATGCATGAAACCTAGGTTTGGCTCCAGTTCCACATAATCTGGGCATGATAATGTAAGCCTGGAAATCAAGGTCAGCCTGGGCTACGTGAGGCCCTGTTGAGGTGGGGGCATGGGGAGGTACCATGCCGTGATGTCTCTCTGGGTCTTGGACTCTTTTCTAGAGCTGTAAAGCCAGGACCTTAGGGTTTTGCCCCATGCCTGGTACAGACCCTTCACACACTGCCCCCCCCCCCCACTTCTGCTTGCAGCTTCCGGAAGAACTTTGGCTTTGGGGAAGGGGAGGAAGAGCGAAAGCAAGCAGCCTTCCAGGTCATCAAGACCCAGCACAAGCTGCTGGGCCCCATGAGCTTTGCAGAAATCACCGTCACTGTCCTCTTTATTATTCTGGTGGTGCTCTGGTTCACCAGAGAGCCAGGCTTCTTCCCAGGCTGGGGTGACACGCTTTTCGCCAACGAAAATGGGCAAAGGTGAGACCTGCCAGGGGGCAGGAGGGGAGACTCCCCGGGACTCCACACTAGAGAGCAAGGAAAGGAAGGCAGAAGGAGGGAAGAGAGTTGAGAGGGACAGGATGTCTCCCCTGGGGCCTCTCACCAGGCATGTGACGACAGGGACCCTTCTCTGTCCTCCTTCCTTCCTACCTCTCCCACAGCATGGCATCCGATGGGACAGTGGCCATCTTCATCAGCCTGATTATGTTCATCATGCCCTCCAAGATTCCAGGACTGATCCAGGACCCAAGTAAGCCACATCGGCAGGAGCTAGCAAAGCCTAGAGGGTTGGGCTGACCTGCCAAGACAAAGGGACTCGGGGACAGAGTTGGGATACTACAGGGATGGAGACTGAGGGACACCCTTCTACCTGGCTCAATAGGAACCCGCTTGATAGGAACCCACTCAGGAAGGCCTCAAGTGGCGGGGAGGGAAAGCCTTTTGACTTTTGGTGACCACCCTTGTCTGCTTGGGGAGTAGAAAAACCAGGGAAGCTGAAGGCTCCTCCTGCCATCCTCACCTGGAAGACAGTGAACGATAAGATGCCCTGGAATATCGTGATCTTGCTGGGTGGGGGCTTCGCCCTGGCCAAAGGCAGTGAGGTGAGAGCCTGTCTGAGGGAAACCCTGGGATAGTCCCACACCAGCCTTAGGTACCTTTCCCCAGCCCAAAGAAGAGTAGGCCTTTCTCAGCGATGCACCCCACCCGCACACCAGCCACGTATTCCTGAAGCCAATGCGATAAGCCTGAGCACCGGCAAGGCTAGCGTCGGCTTAATGCAGTACCAGATGAAGCCTCCAGGGGGCGCAAGATAACAACCTTCCAGGAACCGGAGCGTCTTTCTCTTGACCCTCCATCCAAAAGAGCTGAAATTCTGGATACTGCTGAGCTAAGGGTTGGTGCAGGAGACTCCTGGGTCTGTGGTTAGCGTGTCCACAGACTGTACCAGACACTTTGCTTGGTGTGGAGGACACAGGAACTCAGCGCTGGGCATAGCGTTAGTGTCAGGTCCCACGGCCTGGCATGACAGTGCTCCGGGACGGACCAGGCGCTCTTCCTGCCCTGGGATTCACCTATTTTCCCAAGAGCCTCTTCCCTGTCTCTTCAAGTCCCACCACCACCACCACCACCACCACCACCACCAAAAGCAAGGTCCCTTCAGCCCTAACGCTTAGCAGGGAGAGGGCTCAGGTGATCCAGGAGCTTCAAGAGAGTCAGGAAAGCTAGGTGGTCACACCACAAATCGCCAGGTTTCCCACTAGAACTCCCGCCCCGCTCCCCATCCCATCCTACTGGTTCCAAGGAGCAACAGGGAGCCCCCTTGGACCTAGCTGGGTACTGACTTCCTTCGGAGTTGTTTGAATTGAAGGCCACGAAGTGCGGGCAGGGCCAGGGCCTCCCAGAGTTCCAGCTGAGGACCTGGGGACCTCGGGCCGTTCTGCCTCATATATGCCACCTCCTCCCGCCATCAGAGATCAGGTCTGTCTGAGTGGCTGGGAGACAAACTGACCCCGCTGGAGAGCATACCGCCGGCAGCCACAGCGGTCATCCTCTGTCTGTTGATTGCGGTCTTCACCGAATGCACCAGTAATGTGGCCACCACTACGCTCTTCCTGCCCATCCTGGCCTCCATGGTGAGCTGACACTGCAGCTTCCTCCAGGAAGCCCTCCTGCCTGTTCTCTACCCGCCTCCCCCCCACCCCTCCTACCCCCCACCCCCCGCCCAACTAGTCAGAGTGGCTGGTCTAAGCCTCCTCTCCAGCTTGGAGAGACAGCACCCCTCCTAAAGTTCCCCCTCCTCCAGATGCTGAGCTCTTAGGTCCCAAGGCCTTCTGGCCTCTGAGTCACCTGTCCCAAGTGACATCACTCTTTGAGTATCCCAGTGGGGCTGGCTGGAGGCCTCACCCACCTCCCCACCCAATCCCTGTTCTGGTCATTCCAGATGTGACGGGGGTAAAATTGCTCCCTGGAGCGTCCCCAGCCCCTTCCTCCTCAGGTGTGTTCCCACAGCCTTTGATGACACCTCCTGAGCCCCTTTGAGATTGGTTTTATGGGCCTCTCCCCTCACTACACCCCACAGGGCAGGGCAGCACATTCATCTCCTCCAAGAGGTCAAGGGGCCCTCTCCAGGTCACCCAGAGCACTCTGCCCAGGAATTGGGTTCATGACCAGAAGGGGGAGGGGGGCAGCCCCCACAAAGTGAAGAGACCGAGGAACCGGGACCCGGCCTCCTCCCTGAGCCTGGACCAGGGTCAATTGTACCCACTGTCACCCTCCAGGCACAGGCCATCTGCCTTCACCCCCTTTATGTCATGCTGCCCTGCACCCTGGCCGCCTCCCTGGCTTTCATGCTTCCCGTGGCCACGCCGCCCAACGCCATTGTCTTCTCCTTTGGAGGCCTCAAAGTGTCCGATATGGTGAGTGGCAAGCAGGTCGGAGTGCCCAGCCCTCCACCTGCCCGGTCTCAAGGTACTAGAAAGCAGCTGAAGGACACTGAGGTTCCCAGAGAAGAGCTGGCCCTGAGGGTGGGGGACAGCAGGAGTGGTCATCTTTGTGGTCACAAATGCAGGGAGGGGACATTCGGAAGTTCAGGGACGGGGGGGGGGGGCAGGATCCCCACTTAATGAAATGGCCTAAGAGAAAACAAGGCTCAGAGCCCCAGAAGCTTATAAGGAACCCCCACTTTCCCTGTCAGGATGGGCAGTCAGATAAGGGACAAAGACATTGCCTAGCACTGCCGTTTAGACTGAAGGCCGGACGTTCCCAAGGAGGGCTTTGCTGCGGGGAGGGGTCCTGAGCACCCCTGACGGCTGAGGAGTGGCCTCTGATTCACATTGGTTTGCCTCACCCTAGGCCCGCGCCGGATTCCTGCTCAATATCATCGGGGTGCTGGCCATCACGCTGTCCATCAACAGCTGGAGTATCCCCATCTTCCACCTGGACACGTTCCCCTCCTGGGCCCACTCCAACACAAGCCAATGCCTTCTCAGCCCGTCCAACTCCACCGTACCAGGCCTCTAGCCTCGGCTACCACCTCGCTCTGCTGGGGAAAGCCCACCGGTGCCACTCCTCAGAGCCAGGAGAGGGCGCCTCAAACGCCAAGGCCCGGGCCAGTGGAGAGTCAGCCGGCGCATGTGCAATCGTGTATTCCCGTGTCTGCAAAGATCGTGTGTGTGCTCTCTCTCTCGGGTACAGAGGAAGATGCTCGTGTTCCCGTGGGCTGTGCGGGACGCGCGCGTGTGGTATGGCCTAAGGGCGCCTCGGGGGTTTTATGCATGGTGACAGCGCCCACCCTCTGTCTCCCAACTAGGCCTCCAGACCTCTTTGCACTGTATTTATTGAAACTCTGGGCTGGAGGCGCCTGGGAGCGGGAACTCCAAGGTTCATTAAAGACTTTTTCAGTAGAGTCCAGGTGATTTTCCCGGCGCTCGGGGCCTGGAAGCAGAGGTCGCGCACCCCCGCCAGGCCGTTTGGAGTGGGCGCAGCCACCCAGCAAAGCTGCGGTGACTTCACCAGCGGCTAATTGGGAGCTGCCAGTCTCTGCGTGCCTTTGGGAAAACCGGCCTCCCCGTTCCCAGAGCACTCCCTGGACATTTACATAAAACCCTCTGCCCCTGCCAATTCCTCACCGACCCTTCCTCCGGCTGGAAAAACCGGTCTCACTAGACCGGAGGAGACAGGCTGACCCATACCGGGTGCTCAGAAAGATGGACCCTCATCCAAGATGGCAGCCCACAGGAAGCTAGATAAGACGCATAGGCATATAGGAACAGGCTCAAACCTGCTGTGGCCTTCAGAGTCCAGAGCCAGACAGGATACAGCGTCTGCATCCCCGTCCCACGCCATAGACCCCAGATACCAGTATCTGGCAAGGTGGGGATGGAGGATTACCACATCACCATCCATTCTAGCTAGCATCAACACCCCTCCTGGGTTGGAAGTCCATCTCTGTGTCTGTCCTAAGTCTCTCAGTGTGGATGGTACCATGTAAGCCTGGGATTCATTTGGAGGAGTTTCCTAAGGCTTACCCAATTCCCTTCTGCAGCAGAGGCAGAGAGAGAGAGAGAGAGAGAGAGAGAGAGAGAGAGAGAGAGAGAGAGAGAGAGAAGATATTTGCAATCAGCCTCGTGTTCAAATGAAAAGGGGGTACCAGCTGTGAAATCAGAAAAGATTTCATTCTCTTCACCGTCTTTACAGAACTGGGGACCCGACCCGTAGGGAGAGCCAGGAATGAATATGGCCGTCTCCGGGAGACATGGATCCTGACAGAACATGCCAGGGGGAGTGAGGTGTGTTAAGAGAGTGGCTCTCCCCCACACTGCCCCTGCAAGCTGGCACTCCTCACACATGAAGTACAGCCATAAACCACGTGAGCCCCCCCCCCCCCCCGCAAGGTCTCAGGGGACAGTCCCCAACAATGCAGTGGACTCCCAGGAGGGCAGTGAGAAGGATCTTCTCTGCTACTATGGGTACCTGAAGCTCAACCCTGGCTGTGGAAGGCTTTACAGGACACAGGCCACTGCCTGCTCATTGGTTTGAGTTTTGAGACACTTTCTGCATGCAGCCCAGGCTGGCCTGGAACTCACGATGTAGACTAAGCTGGCCTTGAGCTCACGGTAATCCCCCTTCCTCAGCCTCTTGAGGGCCACCAAGTCCAGCCTCAACTCCATACCCTGTTAGCCCTACTCAGAGGGGCAGGTGCAAACTGAGGTCACACTGCCTGCCCCGGGGGCAGGTAGGCTTGCTGGCCCTGTCTTTTTTAGGGCAGATGGACATCAGCCAGGCTAACACCAGTCAGAGTTGGTGGGCCATGCAGGTACCGCCTGATCCTCCCCCAACTACTCAGACACTCCCTCAGCAAGCTGGGTTGAGGAGGGCTGGGCTGCTGCAGCCCTTATGGGCCTAATCACCATCATTAGCTGGGTAATAAAGCACATGGGCTGGGCTGGCCTTTGCAGGAAGGGCCTATCAGCCTGGGTCAGGGCCATAACAGCAGCCGAGCCACTCCAGGCTGCAGCAGGTAGATCGTGCCTGCTAACCTAGGATCCCCGACCACCCTGCTAGGCATGCGCGCCCATCACTGCTGTCTTCAGGGACAGGGTAGCAAGAGGTTTGGGGTGTCTCCTGGCAGCTGGAACTCAAGGACTCAGGACATGAGTTCCCCAGTCCTGCGGAAAATCAAGAAACTGGAACGCTTCACCGTGGCCTGCCGAATGGAGCCTCATCCCTAGTTTCTTCACATGGCCCAGTACAGGGAATGTCACATAAAGCAACGGATGTGCCAGGAACACAGAAGTACTCCTTCCCTCGGAGGCCAGCAGGACACACTATCCTCAAAGCCCTTTCCAAGGTGCCTTATGGGCCACACTTTGAGACCATGAGGCACTGTCCTGACCTCTTGGGCCTAACCTCACTTTAATCTCAGCAAAGAGGCCCGGATTTCTGAGCCAACTTTAGATGTTTCCCCATTCCTGTGCCCTGAGACCCTTGGGGGGGAATGGTCCCTGTTTCCTACTCCTCCCCCTGCCAGGTAGCAACAGTCTCCATGGGCAGCCATAGCAACCAGACCACAGAGGCTGCTGCTACCAAGCCTGCCAGACATCTACAGGACAGAAAAGAGCTGGTTGGGTAGACAGGAACAAGCCAAGTTGTCCCCATTGTCATGTTATCATCACCTGAAGCACTCTAGAGGTCAGGATCAGCCCCCCCCCCATTAGGCCCCCTATGGGGTTCTCTGTCTCCCAGAGTCTGAGGGAGGGAAGGGCTGGAAGAGGTAACAGGGCAGCTGCCTAAAGGGGTAGCCTGCAGCCTCCACCCCGGCTGGCTGGAAACAGGAGGCCTAGGAAGGGCCAGCCTTAACCTGCAGCACAGGTGTGTGGAAAGGAACAAGGGGTGCAAGACTGTGACAAGAGTGGGTGACCCTGGAAGGGTGGGTGACCCTGGCCCAGAGCCCTGGAAGATCTCAGCACTGTACTCACACACATTCCTGTGCGCTCACAACCCCTCACACACACACCGTCACAAAACCCACAGTCACAAGCATCTGTACATCAGTGCTGCTCACACCCACGAGTCCTTACAAGTGTGCTGAGGCTCACACAGCGCCAGACACACCCACACACACACAGTAGCTCCATATCCCACCGTGGCCATGAGCAAGCCTGAGAGAGAGGGTACCTGTGCATTCATTCTGCAGCAGAAAAACTCACTGTTCTTAGAGACACTTCTGACCTCTTCTGATCCCAGTGGGGAGGGATTAGCACCTGAGTACAGCAGCCAACCTGCCTGGAGGACTCTGCCCTGCTCCTCCCACCCCACCCCCCAGACCCTCCCCACCAAGCTTGGAAACTCCCTGCACTTCCCAAGGGTCAGCCAACCAGAACAGGGCGGACCTCCCTGGCCAGCTCCCCTGAGGCTCTGGTCCAGTTGTTCCACCGCCCCCAGCATGACCACCCTGTGACGAGATCCCTCCGGATCCCTTCAGCCAGCCTCTGCGATGAAGCCTGGCCTTCAGCATTTCATGCCAACTGTGACTGAGCTGGGGTCAGCAGGGCAGTGTGCTGGGGCCTGAGCCTCAAGTATGCTAAGTGCATGCTTTACCTGAAGGCCTGCCCGGGACCCTTCAGCAGACTTTCCTGAGTCTTCCACCAATGCAGTGAGATGGAGAGTCTGGAAGGGCAAGTTCAACTCGCTTTGAAAAGCAGAACTCGCTAGGCGGTGGTGGCACACGCCTTTAATCCCAGCACTCCCAGCACTCGGGAGGCAGAGACAGGCGGATCTCTGTGAGTTCGAGGCCAACCTGGGCTACAGAATGAGTTCCAGAAAGGGCTCCAAAGCTACACAGAGAGACCTTGTCTCAAAAGAGAGAAAGAAAGAAAGGAAGAAAGGAAGAAAGGAAGAAAGGAAGAAAGGAAGGAAAAAGAAAAAGAAAAAGAAAAGAAAAGAAAAGCAGAATTCAGTCTACAAAAGTAGAGATGGGCAGACTGGTGGACTATGCCTATAATCCTGGTCAGGGGACTTGCGGCAAACTCGAGGCTGGCCTGGTCTACATAGAGAGTTAGAGGCCAGCCAGGTCCACAGAGTAACACTGTGTCTAAAATGAAAGAGAGAGAGAATAGGGGACGAGAGTGGGAAGAAGACTCAGTCGGTAAAATGTGAGTCACCTGAGGTCAAGCCTCAGAATTCACATGAAAGTCCACTGCAGCAGCTGGCCACCCGAACCCCAGTGCAAGGGGGTCTCCGGAGCTTCCCAGCCAGCCGGTGCAGCCAGATAAGTTCTAGATTCAGGAAGAAACTGTCTTAGAAAATAAGGCGAGGAGAGAGTGAGGAAGACATCATACATTGACTTCTGGCCTCCATTCATGCACCCAAACACACGCACACAAACACAAGCATACACCCCACCCGGGCCCAATCCCTCACACATGCGTAACTTAATAAACACTGGCCCATTCTGATGGAAGGTGAGGATGGCCCATTCTGATGGAAGGTGAGGATGACCTTTTCTGACGGAAGGTGAGGATGGCCCTTTCTGATGGAAGGTGAGGATG